AAAANAAAAAAAAAAAAAACAAAAAAAAAAACATACTTCTGAAAGGTCTAAACAAGCACTTTTTATTTCTTCACTAACTTCAGTTCTTGGAGCAGCCGATGAGTCACGAGCTAACCAACTAAGCAGTCTATTTAGAGTCAAAAAGCCATAGATTGCTCTAAAGATGGGGAAATCTGGCATGCAGTGTGATTTAGATATATGTGGTAGATAAACGAACAGCAGCAGCAGGAAGATGAAACGCGTACCGAGAATGTTTCAAAGTTCAACTGGCAAACAACACACGTCATGAGGGCGTGTCGTAACCTCTAGACCATCAACCACATCAGTTTCAACAGGTTTGCTGCTATGATCCATGCTAACCTCCGTTTTATTACTTGTGCAGTACAATTATTTTTTGTTAAATTACAAGGAGGGTTTATAGTGCCCATTATCCATAGGTAAATCTTTAAAACAGCACCCTGCAGATTGCAGGTCAGTGATCTATAATTAAGCAATACGCCATAACGTGAAGCAGCCTCTAATTGAGCATGCGTTATCATCAGAAGGGCTCGGTCAAAGTCTGTCCTTTGAGCTCAAAAATCACAGCCTTTTCTCTACATTGTTAGAGCCAGACATTTCCTGGTATTGTCTGACTAATGAAGTTTTACAGGTGCCGTTATGTGGAGGAGGAGCGGTCTGTAATATCTGGGCGGTGACAAGAAACTAGAGGAAAAGAGGAGATGCAGTGGGTGACAAAGTCAAAGAAATCAGAAGGAGCATTTTAAATATGCATTAAGCCCTAGCTTTAGCAAATCATTCCAGAGTTAACCCAACTCTACGCGTGGGAGGAGGGATTATGGGTATACAGAAAAATTTAGAAACACATTCATGAAGTCATTTAAAATAGAGAAATACAGTACACAAAAACTATTGGTCAATTTTTATTTCTAGATTTTTTTACAGGTTTTGAGCCAATGACAACACAGAATAGGGGGTTTGGAGTAAACTTATTTCATGTGTCGCCCAAACAACCAGTCAATCACAAAAATTAGCCAATTCTCAAATCCATAATCCTGAGCTTTTCCTGAATCAACAGCAAACCACTGCAGCATTTATTTGAAAAGATCAACAGACCAGACATGTTTCTGCTCAGATTACCACATGCAGCAGAACCTCGGCTCTTCAAGCCACCGTAATGCTTCAACAAAAGGCACCTGGACTTCCTTTCTTAAAAAAAAATAAAAAAGAAAGTCCATATAAAAAGTACTTTCTGAAACGTAGGAAGTCAACTTTTGTTCGGTTCTAGTAGCTTTATTTTTTACATATCCTCCTGTTGTACAACAGCAATAAAGCAAAAGCACAGAAAGCCACTGCAGAGCTGCAGAGGGAAGCCTTTTCAAGCTGTGGGAACCAAGTGGAAAGTAGAAAAAAAGACTTCCTGTAGACGACAGCCATAGGTTGCAGTGTACCTCCTGGTGTGGTTCTGTTCTACAACATCCTCCAATATGTTCAGACTGGAACCTTCATCATATTGTACATGGTCTGTATTTAATTTTGTCTGGCCCACGGTGCATAACTCTCCACTTGTGTATGGACTTTGCTGACACACGGATGAAGGAATGCAATAATCTCTGCAGGGGTCTCCATAACAGCACCAAAACTGGCAAAAACAGCAGAACGGCCCCAAGAGGGTGTTTCACAATATGACATCAGGGCTTGATTTACCAAAATGACTCTAATGCAGTACCAGGATATGACACGTTCAATGTCCCCCAGTGACACTGAACAATGTTGGCCTGAAAGCAGGAAGCCAACTTGAAGAAACAAGTTGAAGAGCTTGTTTAAACATCTGCAGGCCTGACTATTAATATTGGAGTAGAACGCTTTGATTGTAGTTTTATTGTTTCTTGGCTAAAGAAAACAGCTGATCTGAAAAATATGGTTCTGATTACAAACTGAACAATCCCAATCTGTTCTGCAAAAACAATCTACCTAAAAGATGCACGTTTGACTTCCATAGCAGGTTTTAATTCTCTGTACGAGTTATCGCTAACTTTTCTGGATTATTTTTTTTTATTCTTCTTTTGGTTAAAATACTAAGCCTGTTTGCAACACTCCAAGTGATTAGGGAGTGCTTGCATACCACAGACTGTTTGCTTCCCAGAGTGCAAACACAATGACATGCCATCTAAACAGAGCAAACACTAATCGTACTGACAAAGCACAACCCTAGACTAGATGCAACATGACACGGGATGATGACTTACGCCTGATGAGAATGTGACACCTCACAGACCCAAGAAGAAATGGGGGCTCGGTAAATATTGATGAGTTGGTACCTTTATCTTCAGCTGAATAAAAAATGTTTGCTGAGCAAAATGAAACCATCAAAGCCATCATACAATTAAAGGCTTTGAGCATAAAACCCAAGATATATGAGACTGTTGTTGGGCCATCTATGTTGTTTTAAGCCTCTTCTCATACTTGCTTTTATACTGAGTCTAACAATTATCTTAAATCAAGCCTTTTCTTTTTCATAAACATAGCTGGTCCAAAACCAGCTGCATTGATCATGCTTTAGGTTCAAACTCTTCTTTTTAGACACCAAAGCAAGTGACTGGGTAGCTAGGCTTTCCCCAGGAAAAAAAAGAAAACTAAGAGTAGTAGTGGCCTCACCCTGCTTGTTCTGGCAGTTAGCTGCTTGATAAAAGGCAACTACATTTCTCCCTTGCCTCACAGACAAATGGAGCCATTAGGAAATATCCCTGGTTGCAAAACACACAGATGGCGATTGGTGAAAACTACAGGAGCACCACCCATTATTTTTACTGAGACACACAGTTTGGTGCCAAGATGGAGGTAGCCAGCTGGGATACCTGACCGGATTATCTGACCAATAAATCAGCAAACATCAGCTTGTTGCTATAAAACGTTACTGACTCCTGACATTGCTCTATAAAGAGCAGTATAGCAAATTGGTGCAATAAACACAACTGCCCCTGAATATATTGCGTATTTTATTCAATATTCAAATGTATATATAAATAAAATAGAGAAATCATTTATCACAGATGGTAGAACTGCAATACCTGATGTGGAAGGATATTTTTGAGGTAGCAGCTTAGAATAAACATAGTCCCCCGTCCTGCAAACAGGAACCCTGGGTTTGTATCCCAGCTGGGGGGGATGAGTAGCCAGTGTGGGTCCTTATGCAAGACCCTTCACACTAATGCCTGATAAAGGGAACGGAGGCCAAAAGGCCAATTTATGCTTTTGACGCATGGCCTCTGCAACTGTCAAATCTGTCTCTGTGCGTGACCACGCCCTCTGCGCAGAGATTCTGCACCTCAAAAAAATCCTGACGACACGTCGGAGGGTCGCAAACCTGCGCAGACCTCAAGCGGAAGTGAGCAGACAAAAAGCAGCTGTGATTGGTCCTTGGTATGCCTCTCCGGCTGTCTGTGTGGTCATCCTTCTCGATTCGGTGCCGGGGCGCGCCATTTTTAAAAACTGAGGAACAACTCTTTGATGTCTGGCAACTCTTTATCCATCTCTGTGATCGTGACATCTTGCATTTGCACCATTGTGGTTGTGGAAGATAAACACTCACTGCGGCGCCGCCGAAGTTTTCGTGACCATCCGCTGAAGTTTTTGCGAGTTCTCGAATAGGCTCCCCCTTGTGCTTTGGCGGGAAACTGCTAAGCGTCCCTAGAAATTCCAGACCGATGGTGCAGAAGCACACAAGCAAAACTGGTTTACCACCAGAACCAAGCGACATTTGATGTGTGTGGTTGCAGAAGTCTAAACTGTCCTTAATGGTTAGGGCATTGAACTTATGATCCTCACTCCCACAGAAAGACCCTTAACCCCACGCTGCTCCCTGGGTGCCACACAATGGCAGCCCACTGCTCCCCAAATGGATTAGTTAAATGCAGAGAGTTTATGTCGTTGCTCTGTGCTTGTGACGGTGTAATGACAATAAATGCAGGAAAAAAACATAGTTAACACCCAATGTCAACCTCATTTTATATTATTCTATATATACAGCTAAATAAAAAGGACTATTTGGAGAAGTGATTCATTCTTATTCTATCTGAATAAGTGCAAAACGATCATAATGTCTCAAATATGTTGGACTTCAACTTTTCAAATGCTTTTGAAAGGCAGTTCTTTTTAAATTCAGTATCATATATGATCTTTGCATCATTTCAACCATTACATGTCCTGTTATAAATCAACCTTAGTCGTTCTGACATTTTATTGCCAGAGCTAATATTAAAAGTGACGTTGAAATCTTATATAACTGTAATTTGTTCATCCCCAACCAGCAAAAAAAAAAAAAGGAAAAAAAAAAACACACGTTCCTCTTAAATCACCGAAGACTTCTAAGAGATGCGGGGAGTGATTTATAAATCAGATGAAGTGCTTAAAATATTTCGATGGCGGTGAAAAAAAAAAAACCTATTGCGTGTTTTTTAAGTCGGCCGGTAAACGGTGCCGCCGCCATGCTGTTAGTCAGACATGTTACCGGGGCCACACACGGTGCCCGGCTCTAACCGCTACAACACCGAAAAAAGTTTACCTCAAGCTAAACAAACTAGCTGTACGTCTAAAAACAATTAAAAAAAAAAAAAACAAAAAAAAAAACACCCGCTTGTTCCTTCAAGTCCACCTGACTTTAAAGTCTTCACCGGGTTTTCCAACAATTCATTCAACCAAATCACTTCCTGCCTCCTCCTCCTCTGCAGTTTAGCCTCTAACCAACTGCCACTCTGCCATGGCTGTTTGACGGCCTGTTCTCTGAAATATATAGCCTTCATGCGTTTATTATTTCAAATGTGCGTTAAATGCTCCAGAAGAAACCCGCTAGGTCTGTGAAGGAGGCGCCGCTCCACCCAGCTCGCTCAGGTTGCAGCAGTTAATAATCAAACCGAGCTTCCTGCTTCACTGCACTTGCTGTGGATGAGTTATAAAGCAGAACCTGGCTAAACGAGGGCGCGTGAAAAATAGTTTGCGCTTACCTGGTCTTTGGTTGCTGTTCGCCTTGCAGAAGATGGCTATCAACAACCGTTATAGGGATTCAGAGAGCGGTCAAACTTCTTTTTCCTGTCGACAGCAGAGTTCAGACTAAACTACAGCGCTCGCTTCCTCTCTAAACTTCACTCAGTCACCCGTTTCTATCGCTCTTTTTTTCTCCCTCCTCCCTCTTCTGCTGTCTGCTCGCTAGCTCGCCTGATTTCACTCCAGCCGGGGTGCGGTCCACAAAAGGGAGGGTCTAGCTGGTCACGTGGCAGCTCCGCTAGCCAATGGACACCTCGCTTTGGTAATCTCTGTACTTTAGACCAATCGTTTTCCGACTAGGGCGGGATTGACAGTGGGTGGGCGGGGCCAAACGCCACAATGAACTTGAAAGAGTTGAGAGGAGGGCGGTGAGGGGGATACCGATAAACCCTGCGTTTAATGAGCCTGGTATGTGCATGTTTAGGATTTTTATGACCATATAAGTACCAATCACTTTCAGGATGGGCTGCGCGATCCGGGGGTCTCCCTTATGTGTCAGCGTGGCTTATTTTGAACACTGTGTGCTTTGAAACCAGCTGTTTGAAACTATTTGTGCTCTGAATCTGCAAAAAAAAAAGTGGAAAATATCCCACAAAAGTCAAGTTGATGGAAGTTTATGCTAAAAAGAATCAGAATGTTATTGTAAAGTAGATTAAAACAGATTTGTAAATAAAAATTCAAAAAGTATTATTTTCTCATTGATGCCCTCAAAACAAAAACTAGTGCAATAAAATTATTAAACTGACTTATTTGTTAAAGGCAATTCTTTAATTTTCCACCTACCTCTTCGGTATTCCCTTTGTTTTGTTGGTTTGTCATTTAAAAGTAAATTACATAGAAGTGCGTGATCATCTAGTGATACTCCTGGGATGTGAATACTTTTGTAAGGCGCTGTAGGAGCCTGCCTGAGAGTTTCTGCTATGACAGTTTGTTTATATTGTAACCAAATTGTTTACTTGAACAAAGATTTGTATTGAGAGTTTATCTTACGAGTGCTGCGCTCTGGTTTGTGAAAAAAGGAGGTTTTGTGATTTGTGGAGAAAGGTCAGAGGGCAAGGAGAGGAGAGCCAGAGGGACAGAAGATGATTTACACCCAGTAAAGCGTTCAGTTCATGGGAGCAGCGGTGGAGCAGGAATAAGAGAGCATAGCCAAAGTATGGAGGTCTTGGCCCTTGACGCAATTTCTGAAATCACATCTTCGTGGTAAAATGTAACTATTCAGCCAAGGGAATTAAAGTATTAAATAGAAAGAGACAGTTCATAACTCCAGTCTTAAAAAATTTGGAAAGATATACTCAAACTTCTGGTTATGTAAAATTACAGTGTAATGTGAAACTTTTTTTAGCCCTACCATAACCTGCAGCGTGTATTGCTGGTATTCTATGTATTGAGTATTTGTCAATTATGTATTGGTCAATTATAGCTCATTTATTGTTATCAGATGAAATCGGGATTTCCAAGATTTTTTATTCAATTCAATTCAGTTTATTTCTATAGCGCCAATTCACAACACATGTCATCTCAAGGCACTTTACAGTTCAACCAGATCTTACAGTCAAATTGATTCAAAGTTTTCTATCTAAGGAAAACCAGTTGATTGCATCGACTCATTGACTC